CTAATCAGTAAATTTCTTTTATTGTATTCTAAGAAAATTTTGAACTTCAAAATCTTCTACCATCCCTTTCTTTTTTTCTCAATAATAGGTAGGTTAGAGTTTTAAATTTCTCTGTCATTGATAAGTGAAAAGAACTTCAGATTGTGCAGTAAAAAAAACAGGGGAAAACAGAGATAAATGGAAAAAAAAAAAAAAAAAACTCAACACAAAAAAAGGGGAAAATAAAGGAAACAAAGTAAGCCTAATTTCTGCTACTATAGTCATCGATTATAGTCTTACCCCATATTGTCAAATCTATCACAATATAACTACAAACTCTCAACTCAACAAATAATGAAACCACAAAAAATTAAAATATGAAGGGAGAGACTAGTTTATAGCGCAACAAAACCAAAAATTGAGACCTCATTGTCGCTGGAATAGTCATTTTTTAAATTTTATTTATGATAGTCATTAATCAGCAATAGAGGACCTTAGTAAGCTACATATACCCATCCGAGACTCAAAACAACTCAGCCGCAGCAGTCCCCTAAGCTACCCACAACAATCCCCTAAACTACCCACAACAATCCCGTAAGCTAAATATATTTGGTATCAACTAGCAGCAGCAAAATGGCCCAAAACAGAGAAGAACAATAGCAGTAGCAACTAGAACAAATAGAAAACAACAGCAACATCTAGCCATAGCAACATCAAGCAGCAACAACACCACCTGTACTTTAAACATTATTTGACCTGATTTGCTGGAAGTTGCAGATCTTGGACTAAATAAGAACACCCCTTCCCATGAGCATTGATCCAAAATGCCACTCTCGCCATAATCAACTCACTGAAGTCAGCGAGGCAAAAAAGGTATCCAGTGCGTCCCTCATTGGTCGTCATGTGATGATGTAAATAGTCCAAGCTTTAACAACTTTTTTTTTTTGGTTATTTTTTCTGGGTTTCCAATTGTACCATCATGAATTTGATATACCTAACAAACAAAGAAAGTGATTCCAACTTTCAAAAAATTATAAAATGGGACCTATTTAAGCTTCCAAACAATTTGTAAAATGGGACTTTACAGATTAACAAAGATGTCATGGGAACAAGTTAATGCCATGGGATTTTCACTAATTTTCCCTTAAAACATGGAGAGGGATGGAAAAGATCACTTCGAAGATTCATTTCAAAATTGACATTAGAGAATAGAATTTTAAATCCTATTATTTTCTCTTTTTTTCCGCCTCATCCTTCCCTTTCCCTTTTTTGAGATCAAATTGGCTTTTAGCAAATAGAATTTTGGTATTTGGTGCCACAGAACATAACGTGCTACATCTTAACTCTCAGTGTGCTTGTACTTGGATTTTCTGTTATTAAGTCATTTGGACATGTGCTTCCTTAAGTGTGCTAGGTTTTACCAAAATGGTTTGAACTTTAAAGACCAATTCTTGGTTTCAGTTTGATTAATGTTTCCTCAAAGAATAGCTCCAGGATATTAAAATTGTTGCCAACATTATCTTGGGATTATGTTCTGGTAATTGAATGTGCATTTAAGTTATAAGTTATAAAATTTAGTTTTGCGAAAATTGCTGGACCTAGTTGTTGCATGTGCATGCTTCTATGATTTTGTGGCCTAGTAATCTAGTTTGTCTTCTTTTTTTTCTGTCTTTTGGCTTGGTCAAGTGTCCTATGCTTTCTCATATTACATTTGTGTGAAAAGTTTAAGGATCGTTTCTTCCCAAATGATTTTCTAGTATTACTTGGCCTTCTTTTTTCCTTTTATTTTTTCTGAGAAACTTATCTTCTGATGCGAGTTTCAACTTGTGCAAAACCCTTGGATGTTTTAGATGTAAGTAGTTTTACAAAAGCTCCTTGAGTTTATGTTCTCCAATTGTTGTCTGGTTCGTCTTCGGAGTTACCAGCTTATTTGGTTTTGTTTTTTATCTTAACCCCTATATTTTATTGTTATTATTATCAAGCAAAAATTAAATGATGGAAATAAGAAGTAGATGTTCTTCAACACATGAAATTAGAGAAAACATGAGACGATAGTAACAGTCCCCATCAAGTCATTAGCTGCAACTAGTGTGTGCTTGTGTTATTGCGTCAATTGAATAAAACTAATCAGTACATTGCTTTTATTGCATTCATAGTATATATCTCTCTCAAATAAGGAGAGGGATATTGTTTTTATTACTTTAATGGGACCAATGTAGTCTGATAGGGTGACCTTTATAACCCTTCACAATACCAATTCATACTCCAAAAATTGTGTGTGTGTGTGTGTGGTTAAATTCCTTATTCAATATGTTGTTGTTAGTGGTTTATGCTAATATGTTTGCCTCTATGTTGTTTCCATAGAAATAAGCTTGACAACTAAGCAGTGGTAAATCTTCAAGAAGAATGTACCTGCAATAGAGAACGCTATTCGAAAGATGGAATCATGGTTGCATTGAAACTTTTCTTGATATCTAAGACTTGGAAACCATATGAATGTTATGTTATCTTTTGAGGATTGAAATTGTTCATGGTTGTGATTATGCCAATGGCTGTGTCTTTTTCTTTATCCATTTTATTTTATTTTATTTTTTTGTGTGTGTTTTGTATAATTCTCTCTAGAACTTGGGAAGTACCAAGTAGTTGTTGATCAGTGCTTTATGTTAGAGCAGATAGCCCCATTAATAGCTGATATGGACAGAGCAATAGTTCGCTTGAATTTTCCTGGAACTATTTGGTGGCTATTGTATATGCCCAATAAATTTTCTATTTTCGTAGATGATTGATACTCTCAATTTGTGTTCTTGAAATTTTGATCAAGCAAGCCCTAAACCATACATCTGTTTGTTAATTTTTTTTTTCTTGAGAATAAAACCATACATCTTTGAATTGGTACAAGTTGGCACGGGATTTTCTAGACCAAGTTTCTTACATATGTTGGATTATGTCTTGAGATTATTGTATCTCAAATTTCTCACAAGATTTAGCAGTTATAAGTCTTTTGGTGCAGTGCAGGGGAGTAGAGTATTTAGTATTCTTCAATTAACTGCTTGCTAACAAAATAGAATTCTTAAAAAAAATTGTTCAACATGCAATGTTCAGCAACCAGTAGCTCTGATCTACTGCAAATTATTAATAATATCCTATACTGTGTGTTTATTTGTTTGCCTCATTTTTAATTTTTTTTTATAATCAATGTGTAGGTGAAAGGGTTGTGTTTATGATTATTTGTCTTTTGGTGTGTGTACTTTTCTTGCACTTACTAACTTGATTTTGTCTCATATGATTATTTCACCTTTGCTTATGTAGATAATATATAACAATACACAATGAGCGAAGGAAGCAACAAACCTTGCATACACAAACAATTTACACCAGCATTCTTCTTCTACAAGTATTATTTCTTCGCACTATTCAATGTATTATTTTGATTACATGTTTTATGTTGGGTTTAAATATTAGTCCTTATTATACATTTGGTTGAACCTATAGCGAAGATGAAAACAAAAGCATGCAAGAAGCACAAATAACAGTTACCGACACGGTTTGCACATTGCCTACCTACCACATACTGTTTGCATATTTTATCTTATCTTTATCTTTTATGTTCTACTTGCATCACTTATATTTACTTTTGAGGCAATGTAGATGAAGAAGGACATATGATATCAATGAAGAACCCAATAGAAGAAAGATATGGAGTACAAAGAGATGGACAGGTGGACTGTTGATAAGCAAGCCAAGTTAGAAGGTCCCCTTCCCATAAAACCAAGAAAGGTGAAATACAAAGAGAACAACAATTTATTGTTTTATTATGACATATTTCACACATTATAATAACATGTTTGTATTTTCATATTCTCACAGAAATTGATTCACACACTATTCTGAAGTTATTGAAAGTGTCTTTCTTAAATTATTCTAATACCCACTGTATTCTTTTTCAGTGGCATTTCCAAATGTGAATTGCCTTGAGATCAATTGTTAAAATAATAAAAAGATTGAGCATGGAACAACGTGATGCAGTTGCTAGTAGTGGGTTAGGGGGCCTTTTGAATCTCAGATGTACAAAGCTTGATTATGACCTCTGCGGATGGTTGGTTTAGAAATTTGATCCCAAAACTTGTTCGTTGAATGTTCATGGGCGACGACTCCTCTTTACTGAACTAGACGTTCACAAGTTATTGGGTATTCCTACCCGAAGGCAAAACCATAGAACTGAAAAAATCTTCACAAGCATTTCCCAAGCTATTTGAAGAACTTAGGGTTGTCCAAGGAGCTATTAAACTAAATGCTTTGCGAGAGTATTTGACCAAAATAGAGGGAGCTGGAGAGGAATTTACAAGGATATTTGCACTATACATATTAGGTGCCTTCTTATGCCCAACCACAAAGGTTGTTGTTAAACAATCATTCATTTACCTCGTTCAGAATATGGATGGCATGAAGGATTATAATTGGGCAAAGTTCACTCTTCAATTCTTTGTTCATGGTTTATGCAAGTACAATTCAAAAGTCACTCACAACCAAATGGATGCTTATTTCTTATAATGGTATGCTTCTAACCAATTACAAATTGTTTTGTTAGAAATACTTGATTTCAATGCCTTTTTCATTACATAGTATATGTTAAATTAATACATTTTTGTGATGCAGTTGTTTTACTTTGATCGTGTTGCTCCTACTGGTTGTGATGTTGCTCATGCTCGCTCGGTTCCCTATTTGGCTGATTGGGGTGATGCAGAAATAAAGGCGACACTGAAACTATTCCAAAATTCAGTAGGTTACCAGAATGAGGAGGTCATCCTTAGCGTATCCTTTCTTTTATGTTTGGTTTTTGTTTGTTATTTTTCATGTTGAAATGGAAAACTAAATTGTGTACTATGTGCCTGTAAATAGGTTGATGTTAATTTCGTAATTGACGAGCAAATACAACCATTTGTACAAAGCGAGGAAATGAACAATATCAATGATGTTCGGATTTCAAAAATTGAGACGACTGTTTGTGATATGAAAAGTGTTTTGGAAGAACTAGTTGTTGTTGTAAAAAGTGGAATAGCTAATTCTTTCATTCCGAAGGTCGTGGGAAAATGTGAGCCACTACAAATGTCAAAACAACAGGAAGTGGGGCACGACCACTGTAAATGTAAAGCTGGCATAGTTGCACCTAGAGTTGTGGTAGAATCTACAGTTGTACCTATAGTTGAACATGTTACCCTTATACTCGTGCCAAAACCTAATGTTGTGGTTGAATCTATGGTTGTACATACAATTGAACATGAGACCAATATACTCCAGCCAAAACCTAATTTGTGGTAGCATTAGAGAACATGGAGGAAAATAGAATTCCGCTCACACCATCTATCTGGAAATTGGATGCCCATGTTCATGAGCAAACCAAACAAGCGAAGAACAAAATGAAGGTAAGATTGAACAACAACCGAAGAAAGAAAATCCTAAAACTCCAACTTATTGATGAATCTAGTTCATCCATTGGTCTATATGGTGGTCCTTGCACTCAACATTCGGATGTACGGGTGGACATACAGTCACCTCTTACAGCCATTGCTAGTAAGAAGAGGAAAGCCAATCAGAAAGTACCAACCAAGACAAAACTTCATTTAGATGAATCCGATTCATCTCTTGATACAAAAGAGGATAAATTTGATCAAGTAAGTCATGTACATAATCTATGTGCTATACAATGTTGCTATTCCTGTAAATATATTTTAGGATTTTTCATTATTTATTGTTCGTTGTAATTTGTTTTAGAGTTTGAACTTACTTGGAAAACTACTTGGCCTCAATTTTGAAGCATCTGCTACTGCCATTGAGGTTATTACTAATTTCATTATTGTTCTTGATTTCCAATCCCCTTATTTTAATGCACTGCAAGAAGTTTGACAATTTGTTGTTTATGTGTTCTGTTAAATTCACAAGTCATCTACTACACAAATTGTGAGGCCATGTCCTTTATTTGCTGAGGAACAAATTGTGAAAGCTTATTGTATCGATAAGGATTTGGAAAGCAGGTAATTTTATTGCGTTTGTATGTTCCTCTCTATCACCAATAAGTTCAGCTCTTCAATTTGTACATGATGCAGTGAGGATATTGTGGTCATGGAGTTGCTTTACACGCCGGTTGAATTTGCCACCCGCAGGAATGGCAACGAGGCGGGGCGGGGCCGGGGACTACCCCCCCATCCTCGATCCCCGAAAGTAATACCCCCCCGTCCCTGTCCCCGATCCCCGACGGGGACCCATAGCCCGGCCCCATCCCCGCCCCCGATCGGGGATCCCCGACCCTGGAAAATCCCTGATTTTTTTTTTATTATGTAAAAATCTGTAAACATCAATAAACATTCTCAATCACCCTTCACTACTGGATGTATAAATTTTGGAATTTATCAGTTGGAATATCAACCCTAATAGCTTCATTTTTTTAATTAATTAGAACTCAGCCACAACAAACAAAAAAAAAGAAAGAAAGAAAGATAGAAAGATCTTGAAACAACATACAAATTTGAATCCTGTAGAAACATCCATTTAAATCAATAAACATTAATAAACAAAACATTCTGAAGCAACATACAAATTTGAAACCTATAGCAACATCCATTTAAATCAATAAACATCAATAAACAAAACATCCTGAAGCAACATACAAATTTGAATCCTATAGCAACATCCATTTAAATCAATAAACATTAATAAACAAAACATCCTGAAGCAACATACAAATTTGAATCCTATAGCAACATCCATTTAAATCAATAAACATCAATAAACAAAACATCCTGAAGCAACATACAAATTTGAATCCTATAGCAACATCCATTTAAATCAATAAACATCAATAAACAAAACATCCTGAAGCAACATACAAATTTGAATCCTATAGCAACATCCATTTAAATCAATAAACATCAATAAACAAAACATCCTGAAGCAACATACAAATTTATATATATATATATCCAGGGACAAAAGGGTCATTTTACCTCGAGGACCATGCGGGGCCGGGCCGGGCCCGGTCTGGTCCAGTTCTGAAACACATATCCCCGTCCCCAGCCCGGATATCATTGGGGATGAATTTTTGAATACCGTCCCCGGCCCGTAGAGGATATTTTTTGGTGAATAACCGCTGAATTCAGGATCGGGGGGTCGGGTCACCATCGAGCCGGTTTCAGATTGCCATCCCTAGCCACCCAATTCGATTTGTGCTCATTAGAACCAAAAACATGGATTTGTGGTTCCGTAAGTGTTCGTTTCATGCATTAATATTGCTATGTGATGTCATTTTTGATGATATAGGTTTGAAATTATTATTCGATGCATGTATTTCAAATTATTAATTTAGTTGTAGCACAATTGACAAATGCACAAAGAAGGCTCTTCCCCGATAAGTGTCATAGGACATGGTACTTTCCCACATATGTATCGGTGAGTAGTCTAGTGTGTCATGTTTATGTTTGGTTATTCATGTATACTTATTGATGTATACTTGTGCATTATCAATTGTAGCAACATATTATCAATGGGGCGGACCATGCAAAGCTATGTGACGAATATTTTGGGGAGTCTCGATACACTGGGAAGCTTCATGCCTGTCAAGAAGTAATGTGTCAAGCATTCTTCTATTTTGCAGGATTATTATAAATATCCCCTCAATTTTACAAATATTTTTATTATTTATTAAGTTTTTTAGGGTATCAATGTCGTCATTATTTTGTTGTTTTTTATTTTTCTAAACTGGTTGGGCAACGTTGCATGACCCTTTTTTTATTGTTGTCACTTAGATATATATATATTCCGGTGAACGACCATGAAGAACATTAGTTTTGTGTCAACATAGATATGGCACATCGCATGGCTTATATATTTGACTTGAGTCCCAGCCTCACAAATGACAAACGTCGTGAATTAATGGCAAATAAATTGGTCGGTCGTTTAATATATATATATTTTTTAAATAATCAGCACAATCTATCATACAATATTCATGCATAGGTTCAAACAATAAATTTGTTATTGCAACAATATTTTGGAGACCTTTATGTTGCAAATGTGAAGGAGTTTGAATTAGAGAGGTTGAAAGACACTTGTCTCCAACATAAAACCAATAGGTATTCTAAAATTTCTTTATTGGCTATTCAATTTTGGCTCTCTTATTAACATTACACACAAGTTTGACATTCATATGTATGTTGTCATGAAGCTATGACTATGGTATGTTTGTCATGAAGTATATGCAAGGTGTTATTATGCCGACCGGCGTGCACAAGGTGACTGTTCAATGTTAACCACATAATTACACTATTGCAATTACAATATCATATGATGGTATTGTTGATGGAATATTTTTTGTTTTGTTTCCTTAGTTTGATAAACTAGAAAGGTTTAGGCTACTAGTTTACCTAGTGAACGATTTGTCTAACCGCATTTATATTGAGGTAATGAATAAGCTCGAACAATATAAAGAGAGGTGCGTCCCCAAACCATGAACAACTTATGCCTTTCATAAGCTCAACTGATTACTTACTAAATGTAATTTCTTTTGTAACAGGTACTCTGGGCTCCGGAAGGCTAGAAAGAAAAAGAAAGTTTGATTGAAAACATGGCTAGTTGAAAAAAGATTGACTCGCCTAACCGTACTTTTGGTACTAAGCTTATTCACAATTATGAACATATTAGATGGTTGAAGAAACATGGACGAATAAACTAACCCAATTTGGTAGTATTTTGTGGACGATTAAAAAAGCATATTATTTTTTGGGTTTCAATTTTTATGGAATTTATATTGTTGCTCAAGATTGGTGTGATGAAACTATTTATGATATTTAACTCTATCACATTACTCTTGGTTATTACATTTACAATCCATCAAAAATTACACACATGTACCAAATGTTAGTGGGGAAACTGTTTGAAAAACTGGATTACAAGTCCATGCATTGCTACATAAATAGTACAATATAATTTTTTTTGCATAATCAGTTCATGTCCAACTAAAATTGTGCCATTAGTGTATACTATCATGTACACATTTTAAATGGCAAGAGTGTAAGAGGACAAGTCCTTGGCAAAGTAACAAAATAACTAATAAATTTTTTAAATTTTACATTTAAGAAAACACACATAAAATAAACAATAAAAAAAATTAAATAAAAAATATATTGTTAATGTAGAGAAAGTGATAATTCATGTCATTTCCCTACGTAGAAGGCACGCAAAGGTAGTTCTTTGCAAATCTTAAAAATACCAACAACAATGACAGTATTTGCTACAAAAAAGCAAAAGAGAACCTAAATTTCCTTGTTAGTAAGCAACACCTGATGTATCCTTCAACGACTTAGAAAGAAAGAACGTCTACGAAATCTAACGAATTATATCTGTCAATCACATTCCATGCATGAATATCATACTAAGTTTTGGAATCAATGTATCAACTGTGTAGTCGATTGGTATCCATAAATTTCAGAAAGCTATACATACATCATTGGCATTGGAAAAAAAAAATGAATTGGACATATCTATCAAAAATGTCGAAGCATCATACTAAATAATATTGTTGACATAAACCATCCAAATGTTGTCCTTCACATAAGCCATCCATGAATTCTAACATTGTTTCAATTTTCTTTTCCTAATAAATGGGACAAAAAATAACACTATTCGCAAAAGTATGGGCTAAACAAAGTATCACCACTGTTTGCACAAAAAAGTAACACTGTTTGCAAAAAAAAGTAACAGTGTCAGCTAAATCATTGACATTGCAAACTTTGTTCAACCATCATTGTTTGTGTCCATTTGTTGGTTGTCATCATGGTTGGACCCATTAGATTCATGTTCACTATCATTAGAACTAGTTGAATTCTCAAAATCTTCACCACAAAAGGCTTTCCGCATTTGTTTTAGTTCTAACTTGACCTTCCTCATGTCTTTCTTGTGCTGCAACTCCATCTGGTTCAATATGGACACAGCCTCATACAAACGAGTTGATATGCTCTT